CTTGATTGTTTGGTAAGATTGAATTAATTATTTACATACAAAAATAAAATTAATTCTTCTTTTAATATTATCCTTATTTCTTTCAATTTCAAGCGAAGAAATATCTCGAAAAAGTCAAAATCGACAGCGACCCGAGCCCTTAAATTATTATAAAATCTTTTTTTTTTAATAATTTAATTTAATTTAATCTGTTTCCCACCAATCATATTGTCTGAACACCTACCATAGTCAAATTAATTTACTCCAAATCTCCATTTTTCCATAAAATAATTTGGAAATGCATAAAACCCGACCAGTTGACTATTTTGGTCAACAAGAGACACGCGGTTAGAGTCCTGATCTCCTCTCACTGCTTGGAAGCTTACGATTTCATGTTCTATTTCACTTCCCGATGGGGTTCTTTTCACCCTTCCCTCACGGTACGACTTCACTATTGGTCACCCAGGAGTATTTAGCCTTGCAAGGTGGTCTCTGCGGATTCACACGGAAATCTATGTGCCCCTTGCTACTCGGGTCAGAGCATAAGCTAGTGATGCTTTCGGCTACTGGATTCTCGCCATTTAGAGTGCAGCACTCCACCGCTTTGCTTAGCAGCACGGTGCTTGTATTGCTCTCCCACAACCCCGTTTTCACAGTTTAGTTGGGTTGACAAAATACTTTGAACCAATCTAAAATTTTAGATTGGTTGGATTGACGATCCGATCAACCCAAATAGAGTTCAAAGCTCAACCCTCTATTTTCGAGTTGAGTTGTCAAATTGACGTTTTGTTAATTATTTTAAAATTTTTACTCATCCACAGTATATAATGAGCAAACTTGAGATTGTGCGGCACTCACTTCCCAACAAAAAGTGAGTTAAGCCTATTCATTCTTGGGTCACCTACGGCCAAGCGACGTATGCTCGAGTCTCTAACCCCGGTTCAAAAAGAAAATTTTAAAAAACGGGGGCAGAGAGTTTTGAGAGCAAAGTTTGAGAGAATAAAATTGGTGCTACATGTGAAACAACCAAAAAGACAACAACGGCGGCAGAAGTTGACTAAAAAATGTCAACCTCCCCGAACCCAATTGAGTTGATCGAGTTCTGAGATCAGATGAACACTCGGGTTAAAAAAGACCAATAAAAACTAATTAATTAATTAAATGAAAATTTTAGCTGAGAAGTAACATTATTGGATAAGAAAAGGCATGGCTTAGACTTTACGTAAAGAAAAAAGGGTAAGATTGTAAAGACAGAGCTTTCTCAGAATTTGACTGCCCATGTTCTTCAGATGGCTACATGTCACCGGCTACCGGTGGATTCATTAACTTTTTTTTATTTAATTATAAGATTGGTGAAGTTTTATTAATTATAAGGAAATTAAAGAAATTTTTAGATAGGAAGATAAACCAAAGATGGAGAAAAGGCCAACATTTAGGTGAAGGAGGGTGGGAGAGGTAATAAGCTCAAATGGAAAATCAAGCAATGCCACTAAATTGACTATTCAACCCACCTTTCTAAATAAGAATGATTAAACAAACCAAAGTTTTAAAGGGGCATTTTTGTCTTTTTACTTTTCCATTCTCGTACAATTTTTGTATGAATTAAGGTGGAGCGGGTCTTGTTTGGTCCAATTTTTGTCTCAAATTTTGAAAACCTAATCTCATGAGACTCTTGATGTATATGGTTGTATCAATTGTTTGTATTCGTTGCCCTTCAATCGACAATATCCGGTGCTTCTAGGGTAAGAATATTGTAACAGCTCAAATCTATCCGTAGCATATATTGTCCGCTTTAGCCTGTTATGTATCGTCATCAGCCTCGCAGTTTTAAAACGTGTCTACTATGGACAGCGTCTAACCCTACTTTGACTAGTGTCTCGCATCATCTGGTCACTTACCCCTGATATTATTCGTAACAATCTAAACCCATCGTTAGCCGATATTGTCCTCTTTGGACTTTTCTCATCCCCTTCGTCAACTCTTTTATTGGGCCATCTTGATCCAAGCCCAGTTTTTCATTCCTTAGCTTGGTCCAAAAGGCGAATCACGGATCCTTTTTCAAGCCCATCTCGATACGATGCGGTATGGTACTCATAACCCTATTAGTGGTTTTTTTTGTCGAGTAACTTAATTTGTTTCGATGTGCACGTTTGACATTCAAATCTTGATTTCTACCTCACATTAAACTCCCGACAAAAATTTAAAAAATTTAAAAACCTCGAACTTATGAATCATAAATTAATTTTAAATAGTAGTTAAAACAATATATTTAAGTAGCTTTAAATTTGGTGGTTTCACCTGCAAAGTAACGTGAAACATGAATTATTGTACAAAAATTTGGGCTTTTACGCCATGAAGATACATATAAGAGAACAAAGATGGACTCGAACAAGGCTATGCCCTATTATTATTATCCCTACTTGACCTATTACAACTATTCGAGAGTCGGTTTTAATTGTACTTACAAAGATTGGTTGAACTAAGAGAAAAAGAGATGTGCTGTGACGTGAAAAGTACTCGTAACTTTATTTCTCTTCGTTTTAAATTAGCGGTGTGTTATGTTGGGATGAGAAAACCCTCGCCTAGTCGGTCGGTAGAAGTTTCATGTCGATCCTATTTAGTTAATGATGAGTAGGACAAACGAAGACAAAAAGAGAAGAAAAAGATAGTTTTTTTTCTTCTATTTATTCTAAATAGTTGTCAAGTTTGAAAAAGAAGCTTTCTAAATGTCTCTCTCAATTGACCACATTATTCTAAAACCGGTTAGATATGTCAAAGAGAGCTGCATGAAGAGTTGAGCTCTCCATTTCCAACATGGCATACGGTTTCACATTTTGGCCGAGTTGATCTACATGTTTGTCATTGGTTGACCTCGTTATTGACACAAGGTTTGAAAGATGAGCTATGAGAACAAGCAATTCTCGTGTTTCCTTTATACCCACAAGATAAATGTTGTCAAATTACTCCTCATGTAATTGGTCGAGTTGCCCCAATATAAATGAAATGTAAGAGTATTTGATATCTAGTAAGAGTTTCCAACTTTTCCTGCTCTCTCGTCTCTTTACTTACGGGTAGTTGTAATGATGAATGTTATACATAGGCACAAATGAGAATGAACTCGTTTCAAGAAACGACCTAGTGAATGAGTTCAAGTTATGTCGACAACCGATGTTAAAATAGTCGAAAATAAGAGACCAATAGAAACAACCAAAACTTTGTTTCTTTAAAATATATCAACAAGGCCTTAAAATTTCCCCCAAATTATGAGTCAATTATTTGCCACTGTAGCTGTACAGTCAACTTCCTACACCTCTTTCTGGTTTTACAAGCAAAACAAAAATGATGTTCTTCCCACCACAAATCAAGGCCAGCCCCATCTCAATTCCAGTGGCAATGGAACTCATGATTCTAAACATGCTGCTTATCATACTTGAAATCAAGGCTAGGTATCACGAATTCATACTTGAAATGAACATTTTCAAGGGAAAAAGGAAATGAAGCCATTTTTGTGATTGATTTCTTCTGCAAACAACAATATTACCAGAGAATTCTATGGCGGCAGCTTAATAAGAAGATGCTAAACTCGTTAAAAGCTAATTTTTAGGTACAAAAATGTTAAGAACTGATCCAAGAAATGAAAAAAGAACCAAAAATTGGTCAATAAAGATTAGTTGCCTCTTTTTCTGGGGGGGTTTCCTTTATTGGGGATGATTTCTTTTCCCTTTCATCATTTTCTTCTTTAAATTATCTGAAGAGAAGGGATCAGAATGACTCAGAATGTTGCAGAAGAGCAAGAATGGCACCTGATTAATCCGTTCTCGTTGCAAGCCGTACACGTCTTGAACCCACTTTTCTCCGTGAACAATTTGTGGCTTCCACAGCATTCTTCACACAGAATGAACCTATAGCCGCCGCAGGCCTCACACACGCCGGAATCCGCCGTCGGCAGCCCTTCAATCAGCTTCTTCAGCTCGCCGCTCTCGTGTAGCCGCCTGATTTCCTCTGCCCCGCCGATGTATTCGCCTCCGATGAAAACCGTCGGCAAGGCCAACTCCTTTTTTCCAACTATCTGCTGTAACTCGGCCAGAAATCCCGAATCCATCGACAGATCTCGTTCGTCGATCGAAACGCGAAACCCTCGCAGTATTGAGCGGACAGTCCGGCAGTCCTCGAAAGTGGACCTCACAATGCGTAGGCTCGTGAAATAAACCACTATTCGCTTATCCGAAACAGGTGTGGCCTCGGATCGCGGCGGAACCTGCGGCGATTTAGTCGATTTAAGGTCTAGAAATTTGAGGACCGGTTCAGTCTCAGGCTGAAATCGGAGCTGCGATTGACCATCCGGCGGGAGATTTGACCACGCTTTGAGCAAGGAATTAACAAATCGGACTCGATGGAATATTAATGAGGCCTTTCTAGAGGTAGGTTTAGGGGTTTCGTCAGCGAAAAGTTCTTGAACGTCTTTGAAAGAGGAGCAAGAGAACGGAGACGCTTGCGAGTTCTTATCAGGAATCTGAACAATCGATTTCCTCCACGACCGCCACATTGAGGCCGGAATTCCGATGACGGCAACCAAATCTCCCCTTCTCGCAGGAAATACAAAGCGAAAACCAGTAGAACAACAAATTACACCGTACGGCAGCGAAAAATGCACAAGAACTTCTCGATTGCTTGAACCGAAGCCTTCTGATTCAAAGAAGAGCTGAAAAAAATGGTGGATTCGCAGATGAATCAGACATTTTTCACTTTTAGCTTTAAAAGGGGAAAAGAGAGAGGACGAAGATTGGAGACGAAGGGTTATTGTAGAATGTCGCGGTTTGAAAAGGAAAGGCGGTTTGTTTTACGAGAGGTCGTAATTATGAAACACTAATCATAATTTCAACGTCAATTAGCAATAATTAATCATGTGATGTACAGATAATTAGAAGTGCTTTATCATTGTAAATAAATTTTAAAAAAATAATTAAGGAAAAAAAAATAATAATAAATAAATAAATAAAATTGGAAGAAATTACTAAGAAGAGAAAGTAGTTGCTTCACCAACTGATCATCGTCTTAGCTCTGAAGGAACACACCGAGGCTCCTCTCAGCCAGGGCGCGAACCAGAAATGGAGGTCGGAGCGACGGCGGCTACTTCTGAAGGTAATGGAAAGTCCATTGCAATCAACGTTAAGTTCACTGGAAAGTCGATACCGATTACTATTCCCTGCGATTCTACCGTGAAGGATCTGAAATCGCTTCTTCAACCTTTAACCAACGTCCTACCTCGTGGCCAGAAGCTCATCTTCAAAGGTTGTGGATTCTGTCTCTATTTGTATGCACATGCGTGTGGTGGAAATAATTTGTCTGAGAAAGATGGATTAGGATTTTGAGAAGTTCATGATATGTGATTTCAGGAAAGGTTTTGGCCGATGAAATGACATTGGCGGCGTCGGAGGTGGCTAATGGAGCGAAGATGATGCTCATGGCTTCTCAGGGACTGCACCAAGGGGTAGTTGGTTTTTCCATATTTTTTTCTTCAATTGAAGTCTTCTTTCTTGCATCTGGATTTCAATTTTGCTAAATCTTTATTGTGATTTCACCTATAAAATGCGTTTGAGGAAGTTACATGCCATGTCTCCCACTTTTCGAAGTTCTTAGGGTTAATTCGTTAGGACTGCGAGAAAGATGATTTTTCTGTTAAAAATTGTGGATTCATCTATATTCTGTGTGGCCGAAAAGTAAACGGAATCTATAGCGTTAGATGTTTTCATTTGAACAGTGCTGGATTTGAGATTGGGAATTTGGCAGTAAGAACAGAAGAATTTGTCTCGAGTAACCCAAAGACATAAATTGTCGTCCTCCTTCTAAAAGAAATAGCACATTAGTTTTTACTCTTTGGATTTGATTGAATAGGGTGGCCCGATCCTGCGAGAAGCGAAGCCTCGTCCCAGAGAAAGGAGTATACAAAATGAAAATAAATTGGTTGATGTTAAGCAGCGTGTCTCTGTAGATAAAAGCCGGTTGGAAAGATGGAAGGCCACTGGAGTGATAGCGTTATCTGACAGCAATTTGAAGGTATAGAACAAACCAATGTTTCTCGCAAAACAAAACAAGTTTGTGATTATTATTTCTTACTGAATTCATTGGAACCTCTCATAGGCAATTCCCAATGAAGTTTGGTCTTGTGAAACTTCAGCGAGAGTACTTGATTTGAGCCACAACTCTATTAACCATGTTCCTTCTCAAGTTGGCTGTCTAAGTTCAATGCAGGTGAAGTTAATCTCTGACTACCTTTTCACCTTTTCATTTGAGTGGTTTAGATTCCTCTTTGTAAAATCTGTCCAATTTTATCATAATCTGCAGAAATTATTACTGAATGTTAATGAGATATCTGAAGAGTCTATAAGTTGGGACGGATTAGCGTTTTTGAAGCATCTAACAGTTTTATCTCTCTCCCATAATCTGTAAGTAGCTTCAGTTGTTTCAAGGGTTAGTGGCTATCTAATTTTTGCAATATCAGAATACAAAATGCTCAAGTAAACTGTACTATATGAACCTGTACTCGTTAACATCAATTAAGCTGGTTGATGCAGGTTAACTACTTTGCCTTCTGCACTTGGCAGTCTAACTTCACTAAAGCAACTGCATGTGGCTAATAACAAGCTGATGAGTCTCCCAGATGAAATAAGATTTTTGACCCGACTTGAAGTTTTGAAAGTCAGCAATAATAGGTAACTCCAAGTGGCATATACTTGAACAAATTTCTCATCAATAAATCTGTATAACTGTGGTGTAGATAGTTTCTTATACATAATTTATACTCTTTTTTTTTTTCTCGTGGTGCAGATAGTTCAACATTTTCTATATTTAATGTAAATTAATCTGTCCACTGTTATCTATTATTAATGCATCTCTTCATACATGGCTCAGGATGAGCATTGTTCCTTCAACTATAGGGGAATGTAGTTCTCTTACAGAGGTACAAGACTTATGCTCAAAAGAACCTTTCTTTCATACTCTTCTTATTAGTCTAGGAAATATTGATTCCCAACATTCCCCCCCTCCTCTGCCACCCCCCGGCCCCCCAAAAGTTCTATTGACATGCTTGGCTATGGTACAGGTGGATCTGTCATCAAATCTTCTGTCGGAGTTGCCCGAGTCTCTAGGTTGTCTGCTCAATTTGAAGGTTCCTACCTACTTCATTCTATAATATCTAGTTTCTATTATCTGTTTCAACCTAAGACTTCTTGGTTCTGTTTCCAGATAATTTAAAGTAGTTTTCTGTAACTAGATACAGGGAAATGATCCACCTGTTTTAATAAAATTTGTGACAAGTATTTACGGAATTAACAGAATTACCATAACCTGAAAGCCACCCACCTTAGTCAATATTGTGATGGCTTATGTGAATCACTACTAGGAAAAATTAAAGCAGAGAAGGAGGTAACTGATAGGGTAATCCTAATCCTCAGCCCAACCATCCAAGTTTTTCTTGAAGCAAGAATACTTAATAAAAAATATTAACACCTTTTTGTACAAAATTCGGATCAACTAAGAGATAAGGCTAGAAATATATTACCTCTTTAAGATAAAAAATATAGGACCAAGATTTGGAAACCTTGTTCTAAATTGAGTCACTCACAATCAAACTTAATCAAGATTTGATTGAATGGCTCGGATGCAATTTACCACAAAAATGACTTGAAATCTTAGAAATGACAAAGATGATTCTCAAATTTATAAGGGTGAAAATCAACTTAGAGAGCTAAATTTTAATAATCCAAAATCTAATTTTGACATGTCAATTATGGGGTATTTATAGCCTCTCCATAAAAGAAATCTCCAACCCTTCAAATGTCACTAAAAGAAGTTATGACCATGATTGGCTACCTTCAAATGCCCATTGAAAGGAGTTATGACCATGGTTGGCAAGCATAGTAACTCCCCACCACTAACCTTCAATCGTGAAATTAAAATAATAAATAAAATCTTCAAAGAAAGAAGTTATTAATAAAGTGCTATTTGTGTCAACCTCATGCTTCACTTCAACCTTACAAATGCCGATTTCCAAAGCTCCAAATGGTCTTTCCTCAGCCGAGTCAACTTGTAATACATGAAATGGAAGTTGAACCGAGCTTATCCAATTTTGTAGATGAAGATTGAATGTTTTTGGCCTTTGATCGTGTAATAGGTTTGGATGGAACATCTAGAACATCATGATCCTTTTCAGTAACTTTGATGAATACCTCTGGACACTAAAATCTTACTCATCGGTCCCAAGAACCAGCTTGAGAATTAGCCTTTCTTCATCCTTTTTCTCCAATCTTCCTCAAGAGTTCTACTTCCAATTGCTTTTGTCCGGTGAAAACAGCCTGGCAAGGGGAAATTGGATGAGGCTCTGATCTATCGAACCTCAGCAACTGCTGATACAAACAACTAGGTCAGGTGTTTTGAATGAGACTTAAGTTTCCACAGAGCTTACTCCCAACCTAGTAACCTGAACTAATTTCACTGGATAAGCTCGCGACCTTGAAACTTGGCATTAAAAAGATTATGTTATCTTAGATATGTGACTATCATAGCTTAAATTGCAACTTCAGAAAAACATCTAAGTTCGTGAATTGCTTCTTTAACCATTAGGTAATGATGGGTTTTCTTAATAGACTTTCGAACTTCCTCTTCTTTAAGGGACATTCCAACGAGCTACATACAATATGAAAATAATGGCTGTTGAATCATATTTGGCCAACTGTTACTTCGGGAAACTTTGATCATTTAACATTTCACCACTTCCCCCAACTGTAGGCTCATGAAAATTTGACTCACAAGAACCATCTACTGTAGTGGGTTAAATCTACAGTAAACAGAAAGGGAAAACGAACTAAAAAGTAACATATTTTGTTCTCTTCTTACATTTTATTATAATGGCTCGTCTATATTATGAAATCTCTTATCTGAACAGTTTTTGTGAAGTGAAAAACATTTGAGAACTAATTAAAAATCTATTCTAATTTATATTCTGTGATGACATGTTGAGAAACACATTCAACACTTAAGTGATTTTAGTAGACTACGCTTAATCTTGCTCCTAATTTCTCACAATTAGTATTTTCCATGAACATATCTGACTCCCAACAAATGTAGTAGGTATATGAGCTGAGTGTAAGGTTTGTACAAACTTCAATAGAAGATTCCTGTCTTAATTATTCTGTCATGCGTTGCAGGCTTTGCACCTCAGTCATAATGGCCTAAGGTCCCTACCTTGTACATTATTTAAGATGTGCATCCACCTATCTACACTCGATCTCCACAACACAGAAGTCACCATAGACCTCCTCCGACAGGTGTGTGCTCATGCTGCAATTAGTTTTAAAAAATTTATACGCAGTACATACCCCTCTCATTCAAGATTTGACACCTCTTTGAATGATGTTTTATTTTATTTCATAAACTCCAAACATTTCCTAAATGCTTTTTTATTATGGTAGAGATTGAATGGAGGTAGTAGTAGTACTTGAATTTTTTTCTCTATTAGTTTGGATCGGTTTAGGACTCTCTTGTATAATCTGACACTACCTTTTGCGACAGTATGAAGGATGGGAAGCTTTTGATGAACGTCGACGTTTGAAGCACCAGAAACAACTCGATTTTCGGGTTATGAGGCAGGCTGATTTTGATGAAGGTGCTGATAAACATTGATGCCTCATTGCTTTTGAAGTAAACATGTATGTAACAACTGTCTCGGTTATTCTTTAAATTACAGTCGGTTAAATTAATGCGACCATTCTTGGTCCTACCTGAACCAGAAATTTTCAGGCAACTCAACTACATTTGTTATAATGTGCTGTTTGAAAAAGATTGTTGGCCAATTATTTGGGATGGCATGGACCGTCAATCATGGATGTGTGCCTTCTATACTTTTAAAAAAACATTTTTTCTTTTTTACTTTTCCTTTTTTTTTTTCTTTTTCAAAAGTAAGATTGTTTTCACTTTTTTTTTTAGTAAGTTCTCTATTTGCCAAAATTTTAAAAACAAAATTAAGTTCTAAAAAAATTAATTTTCTTAGTTTTCAAAATTGGTTTAGTCGACCCAAATCGGCTAGTAGATATTGTCATCTTTGGACTTTTCCTTTCGGGCTTCCCCATCCACGGCTAATAGATATTGTCCTCTTTGGACTTTCCCTTTCCCCGAAAGGCTTTAAAACGTGTCTGCTAGGAGAAGGTGGACTTTCCCTTTCGGGCTTGTCCTCTTTGGACTTTCCCTTTCCCCAAAAGGCTTTAAGACGTGTCTGCTAGGAGAAGGTGGACTTCCCCTTTCGGGCTTCCCCTCAAGGCTTTAAAACGGGTCTACTAGGAGAAAGTAGACTTTCCCTTTCGGGCTTTCCCTCAAGGCTTTAAAACGTGTCTGCTAGGAGAAGGTAGACTTTCCCTCAAGGCTTTAAAACACGTGTGCTAGGAGAAGGTGGACTTTCCCCCGTTCGGGCTTTCCCTCAAGGTTTTTTTTTTTTTTTTTTTATTTCAAGCTCAAACTAACAATACCTATTTATATAGGTAAATTTAATTTAGATACTCCGAAAAAATTCAAATACTTGTCTACTTCCAAGAACAGATTAAACTCCAAGGCATCATTAGACTTTGACGTAAAGGCCAATGAGAACTCTTAGACAAGCGAGAAATGAGGATGTTAATATCATTGCAACCATGAGGAAAGAGAGGAAAAGGTGTTGTAAAAAGAGACAAAGCACTATGAACTTAACCTTGTGCTAGGAACCACAAACATCCCAAAGCCAGTGATTGGTGGAGATTTAACTCCAACCAACCCATACGTGAAGGGCATATTATATTTTGCACAAATCAAAGTTCCTTCCAAGTTCTTATATGAATACGTGACCTGTGTCCGCCCATTTAATATTTGAATACTCTCGGAGCTCTGGAGTACTAAACTTTTAAAAGACTGTAAAACAATGTCTGATCAAAGTTGAAGAACGATCCCGCGAAGAAGAGAACCTAACGGAAGTAAACCGACACCAGAGGGATGTCAATATCATTATCCTCGTCATCCTCGCATGCTACGACAACATCCAAATGTCGACGGTATGGAGGCAGTTCCACCTTGGCAACATCTCGAGCTAAATCAACTACCTTCTTGTCCATTCGATCTCTGTGTCGAGGGAACATACTATTGTACAGGAGACAGCTACCGCACGAGATGCTGTAGGCATTCAATCCCTTGTTCTTCAACCATTCAATAAGTTGTCTGAGTGTAGGGTTGTCTTTGATGATCCATCTGTCCCAGACAGTCCAGCTCATGTCCCGGTGCTTGATGACCTTGGGCGGGACTGGCTCGGCCATGGAGAACAGAGGCAATGCAAGGTTCGCAAACGTGTTACGGTAATCCTCCACCTTGTGACCGCCATCTAGAACTTTGTACAGTTCGAGGCAGACGAGACCTGTAGCCATTGCAGTAGAGGTAGCAATGGCGGGGATGATCCTTCCAGCAATGAACTTGGCTTTCAACTTGTCTACTTCAGGAATGCTGTAATTCCTCGCTCTCATGTTAGCCAGCCCAGCTATGAGATCCATATGGAAATTCGAATCATCATCCTGCACCATCCAAACTAAGGTAGTTAGATTTACACCATTGATTCTAAGATCTCCAGAAATAATTTTGATCACACATAACAATATCAATAAATCCTCTAACGAACGACCTTCTCAAACTGGATCGGTTTCATCCTGAATCCCTCTGGTAGCTTCCTGCGTGTATCCTCCAATTTGTTCACCAGGTCGTGGATAACGGCTGCATCGTCAACTGATGCTGTAGAGAGACTGGTTGCCTTCTCATCAGTCACAATCTTGGCATCTTTTTTGGGCATAAAATCTGGTACTATAACTCGGTCAACTGCATCGGCCAATTTCGTGGGGTTCTTAACCCAGTCAGGAATCGGAATGGCATATGATTCTGCTCTTAGTATAGCCGCCGCCAAAACAAAATGAAGGTAGCTTTGATCGGCAGTTGAAAACTGAAGTGGATGGGGAAATCTCTTTGGGGCAGACCAGAATGGTGCCCCATTGCTAGTTACAGCATCTTCAGGAAATGTGTATATCAACTGCTTCACACGGTTCGAAAAATAATCTTCAAACCTGTCGAAGTTATAATATCACAACAGGAATCAATAACATTAAACAACTGAACATCAAAAGTTAAATGGAGACAGATGAGAGTTGAGAACATGAAGAACAGTACTTCAAGCGAGCCCACGTGATGCAGTCTTCAAACGTCTCGCATCTTTCTCTATCAAGACACTCGAGAATGCGCTCTAAAGTGTCCCTAGACTGAGCATCACCAGCATTCATCATTGCAGAAGTGTATTCACTGGGATTTGATAGATAAGCGTTCACATCAGTAGGAGTCTTCTCAAGCAAGCCCTCGAACTCAGATCGAGCCCATGTCAAACAGTGGTCGATATTATGTGGAAACGAATGCACAGTGCACATGGGCGCTTGTTTCTCAGGGGGGTCTCTTGATGCCCCATAGTTTTCAGTCAGGTGAGGGATGACCATTTGAGTATTGCATTTAGCACCAAGAGTTCCAGATTCTAGAAGTGGTTTCTGGAAGTATAAGCACCTTTGATCGACATAGAGCCTTGCATTTACATTGTCTAGTGCGTTAACCACGACATTCAAATTCTCCCAAAAGCTATCATCGAACACGTTTTCAGTCTCGGGACTAACACGATTCTGCAAAGCTTCGATGTTGAGGTGCTTATTAATTGCAACAGCAGCAGAAGCAGCGACAGTAGATTTCGCCTGCCCAATGTTCCAGTCACGGAAAAGGAACTGCCGACTAAGGTTGCTTTTTTCAATTACATCATCATCCGTAATCGTTAGCTTCCCTTCGTTGCTACATGAAACTCCCATAAGTGCAAGGTTCTTCAAGAACTCACAACCTAGAGCACCAGATCCAACCATAAAGACTTTGGCATTTTCCAGTTTCTTCTGAAGTTTAGACCCAAACACAGAAATCTGTGCATCATAACGACTATTCAAGGGTCTAAAATCACTGGCTTCCAATGACTCTGTGGGAAGAGACTCCAACGAGTCGAAATAGAAGAACTGCATATTCGAAAGAAAATACCGTAAGGATGCAAGAAACAGTAACCAAATGACAATCCCAGCATGCAGGGAGAGTTATTGCAATAACTTCACTGTTCCCATAGATTATGATCTATTTCATATAAGCAGAGAGAGATAAACTTGTATGTACTTCATTGAACAAAAAGGTCCAAGGCGTTGCAACACGAAGGTCGCTAAGGCATATTTATCAGACTCAAAACATTAGTAATCTACTAACCTGGACAAGTGGATGAAACTTTCCGGAGCACGCTTTGAGAACCTCTTGAGCTACAATACCACCAAACATGGCAGCCATCGGATTCAGTACTGCCTTGGCACCAAATGCAAAATGTCTCAAAAGCTTAGGATTAATATCTTCGACTCTCCCGTCTCCTAGACTCTCGTTAACATTACTGGCAACAGAAATCAGCTTTTGAGCATCCTCCTCAGAACCAGCAACTGGTAGGCGACCCAACTCAGTCACGAATTTATCTAAGGCCAGGAATGCCAAGTGTAGGAGAGGAGGACGATCGAACTTGGAGAAATCACTGAGAAGGAAGTCACCAGGATCGTTGATTGCTTCTCTTAATGGCTTGAAGTTCAACATCTTGGGCTCTTTCACCTGTGTGACAATGCCACCTTTCTCATAGCTGCCAAAGTTTGTAGTATCCTCCTCGAGAGTAAATGAATAGGCCCTGCAATTTTTAATCCTTCTCGGCTTCCCATCATTCAGCTCTGTCATACCATGAACTTCAGAAAACACCACAAGATCTCCATCCTGAAACTCAAGCCTCTCATCATCAACACAGGAAACGAGTGCAGGATTGTCATTGCTAATGGACGCAATTATGCCAGTGTGTGGGTCCTCTCCATACACATCATAAACAGTGAACTCGGGACCAAAGTCACAAAATACCGAACCAAAGAGCCCTCTAACTTCAGTCTTGATAAATGCAATAGGAGGCTGGTGGTTATGACAGAAGTCATTGAATTCCATGGCCTTGTCAAGGCCAGTATCAGTGAAAACAACAGCCTGCATCCACAGAGAAGTTACATCATGCGCATGAAACTCATATACATGATAAACAAGCACACATAATTGATGTTAACTCCAACTATTATATATTTTAACTAGCAGAAGCCATGATCCTTTCTATGAATTTGCAACCAGTTGAAAATTTGATAAAAAAATTCTATGGTGATTTTATCATCTCAAAACTAAATTTTTCGTTTAAATTTTCAGTTCGCCTTTCCTTTTTCTTTTTAATAAGAAAGAGTTTCGTTCTTAGCATGATATTGAAAGGGGGGAACTCCAAGGGCAAGATTACAAAAGGCCTCATAAATTAAAGAGTAGAGTAGCTATCGGTATGGAAAAGAGCCACAAACAACCACATTAACTACAGCCTCGAAAAAACTACGAAATGAGACTTTATCTTGGAAGATACACCTTTTTCTCTCTTGCAAAGAATTCCAGGAGAAATCTGTAATAAAATTATCCCAAAGAAACTTTTTTTGAACATTTTTAGATCATAAGAAAGAGCTTATGAGCCGTTTTCCTCGTAGTTTGATGAGCTCCAATCCACATTTTTAGTATGGAATTTCTATTTTGAGAGAAGGAAGCTGAGGTAGAGAGGTAGAAAGATAATATTGTGAATTGGCTGAAATTTATCAATCCAATATAATCAATCAGGAACAATTTCCTGTAACCAGTCTCAGTTGACACTGTTTATATTTAAATATATGTAAAATCTTAAGCAGCACTTGGCATAGACTTCATTAA